GAAGGAAAAGGGTGTAGGGTTCCGGTCTAACCAGGGCAGAAAGTCCTAGAGTCAAGCTCGCTGTGGAAGCCCATTCTGAACAAGCAGGGGCTGTGAAGGTGAGATATGGTAAAAGAGCAGCCCTGGGAATGACGCCCCTGCAAAAAATAAGGACCATCCCAAACCACGTCTGGTCCTAGCTCATGATGATGAAAGTCTGGGGGGCATTTAAGTGATTGTCTCTCCTCATGATTTGCTTAATGAATCTGTAGCCCCCAAATGTGTATCAGAGAGAAGAACAGGGCAGGAGTGGGTCTGGTGGGAAGGAAAACGCTAGGAGCAGAAATCAGGGACTGACAATACAGAGGGGACAATACAGAGGGGATAACCCCTGCGAGGCTGATGGGGTCGACGCTCCTCTTCCCAGTTTTCTCCATACTGCCAAAACGACAGCTGCCACACAGCACCTGACAGCAGGTGCTGTAGCTCAAATTAGCCTGACTCAGTCGACTCCAGAAGGCTTCTATCAAGTCCCATCCCCTCCTATGCGCTGGCTGTCAACCCGGCTCTCTTAGAAAGGGCACATGGGTGACAAGCATCGTAGATAAAACTGCTAACCTCAGCCCTCAAGAAGCTTATCATCAGTTCACCAACCGACCTCACCCTGTCCTTCCCAATTACCCTCCTGGAATCCACCCCTGGCCTCCGTCGCAGGATCTCAGAACCGTCTCTCATCTCCAAAGAGCCAACTGAATTTCTCAGTAATGGCCGAAAATGGAAATGTCCTTATCATGCTTCACTAAAAACACAAGCAAGCAAACCACAAAAGGGGTTGTAAATTAAAAATTCAACAGAAAAAGCTTCCATTTATTCTTCCATTCATTCATTGATTTTAACGGAATGCCTACTGTGGACCAGGCGCCTTGCTAGGTGCTGCGGACTCCCAGCAGGGAACAAGACAGACATAGCACCACTCCTCAGGGACATAAAAGAGGACAGGGTCCCTAAAGGAAAAGGCTCCATTTCAAACAACCCCATCCCTGTTAGCTCCAAGACGCAGGAACATAAGGGGCACCTTCGAGGACGGGTCTGAGCGAGATGACGGTCACAGTAACTTAAGGCCACCTAACTAAAGTCTGGGAAGAACAGTGGGGGAGGTGTACTGGAGGAAATGCCTTCACGCTTGCCAACTGAATGTTCTCGGGCAGAAAGCAGCTCTTTCTCTAATAAAACTGAAAAATGAAGCCTGTAAAAAAAAAATCAGAGGCGGCAGGGGCACCTTCCTCTGGGCCCAATTCCCAGCCCCCCAAGAAAGGGACACTTTGGGGTCTTTTCTGCTTCAGAGGTCACTGGACAAGGCTGTAGTCTCAGCCGGCTGTTCGGGCAAATGCACCAGCAGCCTCTGCCACAAACAAGTGAAAAAGTCAGAAAGAGATAAGAGCCTGTGACAGGACACTGAAAACCTTCAGCAGGGGATCTTCGGAAAAAATTCAGCCTAGCCCTTGGTGTTGCAGAACACAAGAAGCCAAAGAAGGTCCGCACGGACTGTCCCACAGCAAAGGTCAGCGATGATACCAATTATTTCTGCCCTCGTCAAGAGAGCTTGTCATGCCTCTACAGAACGATTATCTATAGGTGCGTAATAGTCAAAAGCTAAATTCTTCCCCCAAATCAGCGCGGAGAAAGTGCTGCTCTCAGCAATTTGCCATCATTTCATTACATTAGATTAATTTTTAAATGTGTTAACCTAACAATTATGCCAACTACCATGTAATTAATATTCCGACTGACTTTACAAAAATTACAAAATCCCCTAAAGAAAATAATTAGCCATTAAGCATGAACGAGACTTTTCTATGGCCAACAGCACATAAAACAGAAAGTTCATCACACAATGGGTGGTATCAAAGCTTTCCCACACTTCCTTCAATTCTTAGCCGACAGTGCGTAAAGCTGACATTGGCAAGTCACCCCAAACTTCACGTAACATATTAATGCACTTACTGGTTTAAACTCTTTGAGGGTAAAATGATGAATGATGAAAGCTTTAGCAATTAAAAAGCTCTTTTCATTTGTAAGAGAGGCAAAATAAACACATCTAATTGCTTGCTGCTTCCATATCCCCAGCTGGAAATTAGATACTGGCTTATTTCTTGGGGCTACGTCTTGAGTTTATTAAAGAAGTGTACATAAGGCATCCTCATCATTGTTTCCCTCTTTCCTTTCAAGGTTTTTATGTATTCTTGCAATCGACCTTAAATCCTTTCTAGAGTAAGGTAGGGTATAAATAAGTCATAGTCAAACAGGACATTATCTATCATAATGGAAATAAAAAACATGTTTTCCCCGCAGCCCATCTTTGAATAATTGGCAGGGGCCTCCTAGCCCCAGAACAGAGCTGCGAGCCCCTGCATGACCTCAGCAGGAAGGAATGCAGAAAGTGATTAGTGGTGTCTGCCCTGGACAAGAGCAATAGTTTGGGGGCCCACGTACCACACACTTGTCATCTCCATCTTTCAATAAACCATTACAAATTAGCAAAATGCATACGGATTCATGAATAAAAGATAACGCACGAATTGCTTCCAGGATGAATGTGGAAGGGAAAAAAATGTTTTCTATAGTCAAAAACCTTAAGCCAAAATGGATTAAAGCATCAAGTCTGGAGGAGAGAACACTGAGCTAAGTCAGGAAATGCAAATTCTAGTCTAACTGTGAAGCCACGGGCAGGTCAGTTCACCGGGCCTCAGTCTGCTCCGCTATGAAAGAAGGCCTAAACTAAACATCCCTTAATCATTCTCTGTGTTTCTACTGATCAGGGGTACAAGCAGCCCCCAAAACCCCCTCTGCCGGGCCACTAGGGAGCTGATGAACAAGCAGCTACTGTGCAGGAGGAGCTCCCAGGCCAGGGACGTGACGTAAACCCCACCCACTCCCCCAACCCCAGAGCTTTCACACTGCTCTTACAGGACTTACAAACTACTTAATCTGCAGCATCTCCAGGACAAGAAGTTCCACAGAACACACTATTTCTTTTCCTTAATACAACCTCTTTTTCACCTTAGAGCAAGGGTAAGAGTCAGGAGCAGGAAACTGGATTTTAATACACTAACTATTAAATTCGGCGAACAAGTAAACTACCTTCATTCAACCTGAAACCAGTCACTTCCACTAGGAGTCCCGGGTCACTCATGGCTTCTCAGTTGGCCTAAGTCTTTCCTCCACTGAAAAGTCTCCGTAGCTCTAGGCTGTTCCAAAAACAACACCACCCATGTGATACACCAACACAGTTTCTGTGTCCAAACACCAAAAAGCAAGAATCTACCAGGAGTCCAACCAGAAGGAAGTCACACCATGTACCTAATGACCAGATCCCACCCAATCCCTAGGTAAACTCAGCTGAGGACGACTGACAGCGTCCCTGGGAAACAAGGAGGCTCCGACAGGACAGCCTGACAGAGCAGTGCTATCTACGTAGGGCTGGAAGAATCTCTGTGGCAAAGACATAATTTTTATCTGCCCTGAATCCCTGCCTTTAGGAAAGTGCCTCTCCAGCTCCCAGGAGCCCCACTTTCTTGCCTCAGGTGATCCGCATCACCCAATTAGAGGATCCCAGCGCTGGATTCGATGAACTGTTTACTTAGATAGGGGCCACCTACCAAGCAGGCCTAAAATCCTTTTTCAGGGTCTGGCACCACACCAGGAGATCACGTGGTATGAGAGCGATGCAAATTCACAACCGCTGGGCCCTCCTTCCCACCACTTACAGACATCAGGCCAACCCAGGAAAGCAGACCTACAGAGAACAGGAGAGCGACAGATCCCTGTACCAACTGGGCACCCTGATGCTGAAGACCAAACTGGGTTTTCTGCCAATGGAAGCCCAGAGTTTGAGGGACAACCCTTACAGCTGAGTGTCTGTATCAGAGGTTCAATCACCTCTCCCTGCCTCTCAGACTTAGCTTCCAGGGTCCCACTTCAATCCAAAATATACTAAATATCACCGAGAAACTTAAAGATAAAAATCTGCACACCAGAAAAACTCTCAATGCTCATCTCTCATCCAAAACCGGGGGTGGGGGCTGGGCAGGAGGACCACAGAAAAGAGGGAAAAGACAATGGATGACGGGAGGGCCACAGCAATTCAGAACCAGTAACTGTGAGAACAATGGTCTCCAGAGAAGTAGCACAGTCTAATGAAAGAAGTTTCCCAAGTCATTCCAAACATATATTCTAGCTCTTTATCAGCAGGAAAAAAAATACACAACAACTCGCAGCACCCAAACAAAAGGAGCTTGTGAGTAAACAAACTAGCTGTTTCCAGGCTTATGAGCCTAACTGTTAATGGCTATTTTTAGACTAGAGCTTAGTTTTCCTATTACAGCTGTCCCAGGGTCTACGCCACAGGGCTGCTTGCTGAAGGAAACCACGAATAGCAGATTTCACGGAGCAGCTTAGAACAGTCTCCCCCGATGTAGTTAGAGCGGAGAGCAACCGAACAGACGGCGCTCTCACATCTTCCAGGAAGGACAGGGGAAGATAGCACGAGCAACATAAACAGTGTGAGTGGTTGAACATTCGGACCACCAGTCCTTAACCTTCTAGGGGTTATGGACTCCTCTGAATCTGACGAAAGCTAGGAAGGCTTCCCCAGGAAAAACAAAATGCACATACCACAACGTTTTACACAGGAATTCAAGGGGTTCATAAAAGGGGCTCCCTATACCCAGTCTCCAGGTATAGAGTCCTAACCACACTTGATTTAGGACTTTTTAAACAAATTAATTACCTGAGCATCATGACTAATCCCCAAAGACTTCAAAGGACTACAGAATAGCTCATAAAGAAATTATACAACTTCCACCTCTGTAATCGCATCGAGAACAAAATCTGAATTTTGAATCAAGAACGACGACGACAAAAAGAAACAAAAACTTACACCCTCCCCTTCTGCATTTATGAAATGTTAAGAAAACTTGGCTTTTTCTGTATCCACTCCATTTCTGACATGTCTCCCTTACCTTGTTTGACCATTTATACGCTTGCAGGAGTTGACTATAGAGAGGAGTTTTGTCCTGCACAGGATCCAGGCTCAACAGCCCACTGTTATGGAGAGGATGGTTCTCAGATGGCTTGCCTACCAGATTGCTCAGACGTTCCAGCTCACTGAAAAATAAACAGGTAAAGCAATAAACCTGGGTCCAACGAAACTCCAGGGTTTAGCCAACCAGAACAAAGGCTGTTCTTCAAAATGTCCATCAGAAGTCTCTTAAGAAACACTGTGAAAGGTTAAGATCTCCGACAATCAAGAAAACCCTTAAGTGGGAGCTTATCTTATTTTAAAACCGAGCTCTCTGGTGCCGTTCTAAATGAGGAAAAAAGTTAAGAGCACTGGAAGCGGGAAGACTCCTAAAGTCAGGATGTAACAACCCAAATTATTCTCAGGGTGGGGAGGGCGACTTTCTGGAATTTTGAAATGTGGTATAACATCGCTTCTCACAAAGAGTTTCCAGACCCACATACAGATCATTACATTTGGCAGAACAGCAAGTACCTGAATAGATGATGATTATTTATCATCCACATAGGGATAGACTGGTACATGGTACTTCACAGATGGTAAAACTTAACAAAACAAAGAAGAGATAAAACAAACAAACGGAATGGGAAGACACCACGGAGGGGGCTGTGTCAAACAAACATACTTCAGTCTAGTAGGAAAACTCTAGAGAAGCTGGGGAAAGGGAGCCAACAGCAAAAGCACATTCCAGGAGCATGTTCTGTGAGGCCAGTCTCAAACTGTCAACAAAAGACTCTCTAGGAACAGCTTCTCATGCCACACTCATTCTGGAATCTTCAGCCACCTTCTTCTTGGCACTACTGCACAAAGATTTAAAAAGGCGACAGGGTACTATAAACTTTCTAGAAGGGTAGAGGGTTGTGAGATCCTGAACATTACCCAAGGGAGGAAACGGAAGAGAGCAGAGAAGAGCCACTGCATCCCCTCAAGCAGGGAAAAGTATTAACTGGCAGTGCGCCAGAGAACAGCAAGTGAATGTGGGAGTTGAGGAGGGGTGTGTGATTTCCTGGCTTTCCACCAAAAAAGAATAGCAACTACTTAGGGGGAAAAAAAATCAAAAGAGGCACCACCCATCATTTGGTCACCACCTCCTCCATGCTACCTCCGCCTTCCATCTGGTTACTAAGGAGACCAAGTTGGGAGGAGGGGGAATCCATCCATTCCAGAAATTACAGGATGACTATCTTAGCAAATGCCTTTCCCTGCTAAGGTCAGTTCTGAGAAGTAAAAGGCAAAAATCCTGGAACTCCAACCTCCCCGAGAAGGGCTGACTCTCTTAAGGAAGGGAAGACAAGTTTAGAACCTAACCAGCTAAAGAGTTCCTACAACCTGATGGGCATCTCACAAACACCCTCTCACTTATTTCTTCCGGACCACTTAGAAAGTAGAAGTAAAGAAGGTGACTTGTAAGAACGAGAAAGAAATATACAATCCTTAACCCTAAAGGATTGCAAATTAATATGGGGGGGGGGGGCTAAACATAAGTGATCAAACCTGAGATGAGGTCTCTCTAGAGGAGGAAACAGAACAGGGGCGGAGCGGGAGTGGAATTCTGATCGGTTCCGGAGGGGGCAGGGGAGAGGGAAAGAGCAAGTCCTGTTTTATCAAGTTTGGATCTGGAGTAGTGTGAAACTGATGAATTCCAGGTTCAGAGGCGAGGAACTGGTGCTCCAGGGACCAGAAGCACTTGGGTTTGGGGCAGCGCTGGGCTGGTCCTTTTTGGTACTATTCGATCAGACACGCCGGGGCACCGAAGGCCTACAGGTGAGAAACCTGCCAGGCGGAGACGAGAAGTGGAAGTGCACGGGAAGAGCGCGTCTCCTCGTCAGGAACAGAACGACCCCACGGCAGGTGCGGGGCGGCGGGAGACAGCCAGGACTGGGAGGCCAAGAGAAGGGAGACAGGAAAGCGGGGGTGGGAGACGAGGTGTCCCTGAGGAACAGGCACGGGCTTGGAAGGGAGGGGCAGAGAGCAAGCGAGCTAGGAACTGAGAGCGGCCCCTGGCTAGGAAGACTCGCGCGGGGTCGGGGCAGGGTGGGCGCCCGGAGGGTCCCCGACGCCGGCTCCTTCAGCCGGTACCTACTTGAGGTCCCGGTTGACCGAATGCAAGTTGTCCTGGAAGTGCGCAATGAAGGCCTTCTCCCGGCCCTCCAGCGTCTCCTTGTTCCGCATGCCATCCTTCAGGCAGTCGAACACCCTGCTCACGCTGGAGCGCAGCGCCTGGATGGCACTGATGGCCTGGGCAAAGGCCTCCAGGTTCACTCCGACACTTAGCATGTCCGCCATGTTGCCGCCGCCACAGCGGGCTCTCCAAAATCGGCCTCGCTCGCTACAGGCTGCGCTCGCTGATGACGTAGACCCCCCGAAGGCCTCTGGGAAATGTAGTTCTCGCGGGGACGGGCTGCCCAGGGGGTCAGTGCAGACGCAGCCCGAAAGAGGGTTTCCACTCGAGTAAGCGAAGGAGCAGGCGGGAAAGCGATCGCTTAAATTTGGGGAAGTCAGGCTGCATTCTCGGTTTTCTTAATGGTGAGAAGGAACTACAGAAAGTTCCCGCGTTTCCCCAACCTTGAGTTCTTGGAAATACTAGGGAAAAGAATTGCTCAGAGCAGAAAAGTGGCCATGGAGCAATGGATTAAGACCCATTGGATAAAATGAGTCCATACTGTTAGATAAATGAGGGGGAAGGGAGATTTTTTTCCCTACGGCAGAATGCCAGCTGATAGAAGTAGAAGAAATGATAGAATGAAAATTACCATTTGGCAACCATTAGAAGAATAATGGATTCGGGTAGGAGTCAAGGAATGCTGAAACCGGTGGGTGGAAGTGTGAGGAGTCACTGGATATTTGCATAGTCTCCAAGTATCATCCCACAAGACGCTCATTAATTAAGAAGAGTAAAATAATGACCCAGCAACTCCACTTCTGGTTATATACTCAAAAGAAAGGAAAGCAGGGACTGAAACAGGTACATGTTCCCTCAAGTTTATAGCAACATTATTCACAATAGCCAAAAGGCTGAAGCAGCTCATGTCCGTCATGGAATAAATTCATAAACAACGTGTGGTATATACAGCAAGGGGATATCTGTCCAGCATTCAAACGGAATGCTGGTTACAACGTGGTGAACCTTGAGGACATTATGCTGAGTGAAATAGACAGTCAGATAAAGACAAACACTGTATGATTCCACTGATGAGATACCTAGGTAGGCAAACCCTAGAGACAGAGAGTAGAATGGTGGGTGCCAGGGGCTGGGGGAAGGGGAGAATGAGGAGTTAGTGTTCAATCAGCAGAGAGTTTCAGTTCAAGAAGATGAAAAATTTCCGTGGATGGTGGTGATGGTTGAATAGCAACGTGAAAGCCCTCAATGCTGCAGGACAAGACTCTTAAAAATGGCTAAATGGTAAATTTTATGTTGTGTGTATTTTACCATAATTCGTGTTTTTTTTTTTAAATTCAGTAATGTTAAAGAGGGGGGTCCTATTGACTTCACAGTGGAGCGACCTGGCAGACACCACCCCAGCAAGAGACCATGGTTGACCTTACTGTGGTAGGACAAACCGTCTCCCGACACAATGCACAGAGAAAAGTGCAACATGAATTCTGTGATATTCCTACCAAAAATGCGAAACCAGAATCTGATCAGGATGTGAGATAAATTCGAAGACATTTGACAAAACGACCAACCTATACTTTTCCACAAAACATCCGTGTCATGGAAGACAAAGAAGCATGTGACCTGGGACTCTCTTTGCTGACATCACGGAGACCATTGGTGAGATCTGAATAAGGTCTGGGGGTTAGTCCATAGTATTTCAATATGTCGCTGATGATTTCATGATTTTGATCACTCAACTGTGGTTATGAGAGAGGTCATCCTTGTTTGGGGGAAGATACCTCGAAGGCATAAAACAGCATAATTTATGAAAGAGCATCTCTATGAAAAAGAAAATAGTATGAAGATATTTATTTATAGAGAGAAGTACAGAGCCAATGTGGTAAGATATTAACAATTATGGAATCTGGGGGAAGGGTATACAGGAATAGTTTGTACTGTTCTTGAAACTGTCAGTCTGAAATGACATCAAGATTAGTTGTTGTAAACAGAGGTCAATAAAGGGCATGGAAAGTGTGAACATGGTCTAGGTGGTAAGAGAAATTTTCAATTCTACCAGGCTGTGCTGACCAGCAATGTGAAATTGTGGAGTTCACCCCAAACCCACTTCCTTAGTACATCCCCACTCTTCCTTCTACAAGCTCACTCCTCCCTGGCACCACCCCCACACCACACCAATTCAGATTCTCTAGTTGTGGAGCCGGAAAGATAAACTCTCCTCCAAAACTGGACCCTGACGTTGCTCTCCATGAGTGTTTAGACACTATTTAGATGGATGAATAGTCCCGGGAGAAAATTAAAAGTTGGGTGGGGGGGTCATTGTCTTGGGCTTACATCATAGCTTTCATTTCCTGACATCTACATCACCTTCAAGCATTGCCATTGACAGCTTTTCCTGAGGAGGGGTAAGAGATAGGAGAAACTTCCAGCTGTGGAACTCTTCACAAGTCCCAGAACTCCCTGATCTTCAGTTTTCTCATCTGTGAAATAGAACTAGGAATCATGCCCATCTTTATTAAATAGCTGTGAGGTTCAATAACACCTTGAAGGCAAAGCTTTTGAAATAATGCCTGAAAAGTAATAAATACTCCGGAAGATTGTAGCTGTCAGGAGAATGTGCTGGGAGAGCCTCCCGTGGGCCTGTGAGCCAGGCTTCTATCTCCTCTTGAGGACACTGCTCAGAATTAGGCAAGGATGTACAATGTGTCTATTGGGTCAAATATCTCTAGTGACATGACCATGCTGCTAAGAGCTTGTCCTTTACCTGTGTCCTATAATTCACTATTTCTTGGTGGCCTTTTTTTTTTTTTTTAAATCTCCTTTGGAGTACAGGGTTTTAGCTTTTGTTTTTAAAGATTTTTGGAGAAAATCCTCTTTTAGCTTCTTAAATGAAGGGAAATATTGGTGTCTGTTGGCTTCTCTTGATTTTGGCTTCCCTTGTAGTTTGTTCATCCCTTCGAGGAGGAGATTAGAGAAGGCAAACTCTATTATTGTGGTTATGTACCTTACTGGGAATCCCTGAAGGCTTAGAGAATGTGACCCTGGCTGCATACTTTGTCCCCAATAAAAAAATGTGCCAATCTACCTCTGCCCGCACCAATATGTGCTTACAAACCCAAGATTTTGCATACAATTTCCAAGGGTTCATAGCCTCCCTAAAGTCCAAACATGGACCTCTGGTTAGAATCATGTTCTAAGGCAAACACCATGGGGGGATGGCCCACAGCTAGCTTGTAGCCAGCAAGTCTCCAGGGCCTGGGGCACAATAGATGCTCAGTGTAAGTTTTTGGAAGCAAAGAATTAACACGATATATTATGTTTGCTTCTTGGATCTTCCCTCCAAATTACTTCATCTCTTTGTATACTCAGATATCTCTCCCTCCTGCTCAGCCCACCTCCCCCGCCCACCCTCTCTCTCTCCACCCCCCACGCAATAAGATTGTCCTTTGTCTTACTCTGATTCAGTGGTTTAGATACTGATTGGAGCTATAAAGTACCAAATGCTCCGCTCCCACAGTCATTAGTTTTCAGGATTTCTCTCTGGTTCCCCTCTTCTGGGAAACTCAGAAATTGATCTGTGGAAATGCACATTTCCCCCTGAACCTAGTAAGGAGTCTTTCATCACAGCAACAGAAAACTTTTCATTTTGGAAGGAAATGGACAGAGTTTCTCTAAGGTGCTGTAAATCCTTGAGAATGCTGGCACATATATGCTTGCATCTGCGTGTGTTTGTGGGATATAAATTAGTTTAAAAGGAGTTCATTTCGAGCAATATCAGATTTTAATTATTGTGATCTTATGTTTGGGTAAAAGGCAGCACCCTGCTGCTAACATCTTCCAAAATGAACAAGCCATTAGCTTGGCGCTATCAGCTCGAGAGTATTAGAATGCGCAATCGGAACTAAAGTTGTCAGTATTTAATTAAAATATGCTGCAACTCCTATCATATTCAGAGAGCATGTGGTTTAAGCATTCAGACCGAGAAAGCACCCTCATCAATTAATAATTATTAAGGATTTACTAGACGCAGAACACTGCATTGGACGGCCGGGCAGAATGTCACCAGATAGATTTAAACCCAAATCTGCCTTGGATAAGCCAGACGTAACTAAGCCACCTGTCGTAATCAGTGTGGCATCATGCTTAAGACCTTGGGGGTTGCTCCGAGGATTAAATTGAGGCAGCATACAGTTCTGGGGACATAGTAGGCATGCGAGTTAGTCATTCAACAAATATAGATATTGGATGTGCTCGACATTTTGTTAAACAGCTGGGGAGCTGGTGGTAAAACCAGGCGCAGTCTAGCCCTGACAAATGTCACTGCAAATATTTGAAGTGGATTCCGTGTTCCTTCACCTTCACCTGAAGGCTCACTGCATCCCTGAGTTTTAAATTGTTTAGAGTCAAGTTCATTAAAATTAATCTAATGCAAGTATGGTTGAGAAACTTCCTTTGGTCTCTTCTGATCCCACCCCACCCCGCCCCCGACTCCTGTTTTCCTCTTATCTTGCCTCTTGTGGTTTTAGCATGATGAGAACGGTGATCAAATGATCCCAAAGACAGAGGATCCTGGAGAGCAGGAAATCAGCCTAGACTGGTGTCCCCCCAACAAATGAGTTAACCCTTCTGAACCCCAGATCTCGCATCTAGAGAACAAGGAAGTAGGATCACCTCCAGAACTAACAATCCAGGAGGGGAAGATTAGGAGGAACGTGTTAGTAATTCAAAAAGGAGGAAAGGGAGAGAATCACTCATTGTTAATTCTGATCACAACACTGCACCAGAATTCCTGCACTCCAACTCATTCATTATCCAGGGACACTCACTGAATAAAAGGATTAAATAAGGATCCCTGTGGAACTCATTCCTGTTCTCATGGCGCTCGCTCACAGCCTCGCTAGGGAGACAGACACAAATGGAATGTGAAACACAGTGAGATTCAACTGCAAGATAAGAGACCTGCACACAGAATTTTGAAGTTCTTAGAGAAGGTGGTTACGCCATCCTCTGCACAGGGGAGGTCTGGGTCAAGCCTTCCAAGGAGACGAGGGGCTAACCAGGTGTGGTGGGTGATAGAGGTAAGGGAGCGCAATGGACAGTTTGAAGTGGATTGTGCTGTGATTAGATCTGTATTTGCGAAAGTACACCCTCTAGCCATGAAGAAAGTGGGCAAAAGTGTCCAGGCTTAGAGGCAGAGACACCAGAAAGACAGGGACTA